CCCTAACGCCACAAAACTATCAACAATTGAGTAATGGTTGTGCAACTGATAATAAAATGTAAACTGATAATTAATTCGTGTCATGACCATTGTTATGGACCAAAATTGTAGGCATATGGGAGTTTTGAACTTACGTCTCAGGGTGACGGGATTACGCATGGTAGTCATCTTTATGATTTAAACTCTTCTGCTCATTCTTAAGGCAGATTTCCCTGAGAAAAATGAGCAAGAAACTAAGGCTTGTTCTTTGGAAATATACATTTGAATACATTTATCATTACAATATTTATTTTAAACATCTTAAATCAAGACTACCTGCAAAAGTTAAACGGGTCACTACCACGGATTTTTGTCATCCAAGTACGCAATTGTTGTATCATTTTAACCTTTAGTATAAAGTTTTTGTTTCTTAAACCTCACAAATGACAAATTGGTGAATATCAATCGGAATCTTATTATAGAAACCTGTTATGGACAGGTGTGTAGCTTACTGCCAGGCGCATGACTTGCTGCTCTCGTCACTGAAGGTGCTAGGGTACTAGGGAATTCCTTGTACTATGACTACCCGGAACAACCACACATAAACTAATTTAGATAATAAGCAAAAGAGATATACTTCTGATGAGTGTACCCATGAGCGGACATTGGACATACAGACGCACGGCGAGATATCATCTCTACTTGGTCGATGTTACCGTCAGGCGTACTAAGCGCTTTTCGTAATCTTTTATAACTGTCTCTGTGGCCGTACGATTACCGCGCTGGACTGCAACACGGAGGTCCCGGGTTTGATTCCCGGGCTGTGAGAAATATTTGTATGGCCTACATTAATTTCTCTCGTTAGTTTGGGTGTAATTTGTGGTTGCCTTTGTGTGGTTCAATGGCACCCGCGATACAGGGTTTCCCTAGTGCGACTATGAGTATGTGTACGTTATTATATTGTATTGTGTTATATTATATTAAGCGCACAGCTCAGGGCCCCAATTCTGCTAACTTTCTGTACACCACTGGTCATTTTAATTTCATTGAGACTCCATTAGGACTGTATCTAGGGTCGGCGGACTAAAACACATAAGTCAAAAAAGTGCTTCATTTGTTAATATATAAGTAATTACATATTTTTTGTGTTGTTTATAGTGTTAGAAGACGTGAAGAGAGCGATAAATTTCAAAAAGACGCCTCTAGAATAAAGTTACAAATGTATGAAGTAACAAATGAATTTGACTTGTGTGCTTTAGTGCGCCGACCCTAGATATTACAATTACGATAATATTTGTTATTGCAATGGCAGTTGAGTCTCAGTAGTGTCAGTGGAACGGCAGTAATGGCATTTATTCAATTACTAACTATCGATCTTACCTTACTAAAACTGCGATGGAACTAAAATAAATAAAAGATAAAACTATGCATATGTTAATTTTTATTTCGTTTAATATGCAATTTAGCCTTGAAATAAAATATGTATTTCTCAAACGGCGGTAAAATAAACTAAAGTGCTTTGGTAACCTTAACTGTTTTTTCGTCTTTTTTGTATTTTCGTCGTGAAAATTAGCAATAACGAAAATAGAGTAATGGACAATACTTTGCCTAATTTAAAACAAGAGGCAATATTAGCCGGTTTTGAGCAAACTAACATAAATGAAAACTTGTGGAATTTTCGTGCACTGGAGAACTATACCGAACTATTACCGCGGTAGTTTCAAATTCGCTGCAACCAAGCGCTGGAATGATTTGTCTCCTCCATTAAGGAACTCAAAGTCGTGCTACTTCCGAAGCAAAATTGGCAAGTAATTGCAGTAATTGTAGCTTATATTCTTATATTTTTATTTTTAGGTACTATTCATCCCTGCCTAAACTTCAAATTTGAGTATTTTGAAATGGAATGTTTTATTTAACACTGGTACCATCGCGACAATAGGATTATAACTTTAAGTGATATATATAAATGATGTTATTTAAGGCTCAATTGTTATGCAAATGTAGATAAATAAAGCTATTTATAGTAGACCCAATCTTTGCTTCAGGAATAGGCCGTAGTCAAGAGCAAGTCCACTTACTTCACGCCCACAGTGCAAACGCGTGGTCGTCATAATTTTCCTGTTAATACAGCAAATGCAAACTACCCAAAAGTTAGTTTGTTATTGTTTTCCAAGAAAATCAAGCGTTCTCGAACTTTCTATAAATAACCTTGTTTTTGTCTATGTTATCTATTGTTTACTGACTGCTAACAATAATATTAGGCTATCATTTTGATGGCAAAATGCCATTTTTGCCAAGAAATTTAGTATGAACCAACTATTTATTACCAGTAACTTGGAGTCTGGCAAGTTTCTTGGGATTTTATTAACTTTCCGATTTCTTTTTATTTTACAGTGAAAGAAAATGGTTCTTTACAATACCGTAACATAACAGCCCCATATTTTTCTACATTAGTTTTGATTATAGTGATCCTCCCTACCGACCCTTAGGGCGTTTGAGAAGTGTACTGTGTCCTGCGTGAGCATGCCCGCGCAGGGACCATTAAGTTAGCTCCTAACCCCAGATCAGCAAGTATACACGGACTTCATCCGGTGCTCCGTAAGGCTAGTGCCTTATGTGAGCCGAACCGGGTGCACGTACAGCACCCTCCCTATTTTCCAGATCGGTACCGGAGCTGTAGGCACGCTCACTTGCCATCGCGCTGGTTGCCACCGCTGAGTCTTCAACTTTAAACCGACTTCCAAATCTCCTCTTTGGTGGCGGAGCTGTAAGCTACGCTCACTTCCCGACGCCGATAAATGGCGTCTGTCCGGTTCCCAAATTCGTACGCGCCTGGAGGGTGTCTATCTCCTAGCTCATCCTCTCCGGGCTAGTGCCGGAGATGCCGGTAGCAGTGTCCTGCGACAATGTCCGGATATAACTAACGACTCAAAGGGCAACTCGCGTGCCCCGCGCGTCTCCTTGCCATAAGGCCGTCGCCTACACCGCTACTAAGACGCGATAGCTGTGCGCGGGACGGACGCCCCGACCCCATGCTACTGGGGCAGACGAACGTGGTCATCCCTGCAGCTAACCACAAACCCTGTCGAGTCCATACCCAAGTCCGGAGGGCTCGGCCCGGACGCCCGCCGTACCCTGGTCTTAATAGGGAGCCCGTAGGCTGCCCGGAACTCCCTGTCTCTGGGGTCGGTAGATAGGGACATATCAACCGCAACATACCAAAAGTACCTGCGAACCCCATCGAATAGACGGCACGGAAATGCGACAATGCATTGAATATTTTTATAAACAAATGAGACAAAATCGGCCAAGAACTCTTTCGAGATTATAAACCAATATTAAATGTGTAGTTATTTCAATAATTGAATATCAATTTAATAAAAAATTTAAATACAGTCAATAGCGACATCTCTCGCCAGGGCCGATTGCTGTAAAGGTATCTAACTGGGTGATAAAACTTTCATAGATTTCTCAGAGATGGCGCTACGACTAAAAAGTCGTTGAAAAACCAAATACAAAGACACGACAACAAGCACATAGAAAAATTCGTGAGGTCTACTGGTTCGTTCCGTGGCTTAGTTGGTATAGCGTCTGGCACGGTATGCTAGAAGACGTCGGTTCGAATCCTGCCGGATCGAAGGAATTTTTTCTGAGCATTCGATCTTTGTTTTAATAATTATAACAAACCAGTGGAGTAATTTCACAAAAAATAATTGAATATCAATCCAATAAAAGTTTAAAATATGTAGTTATTTATTTGAATACATAATACAGGGTACCTATTACCAAAGAGAGTAATATTTATGACAAAGTATACGTATACAACAAGTCCTGTGGGGCACAAAAGCGAATGGAATTTATATCTAGATTAAACCCACATCAGTTATGATAATTATCCTATGCAATGACATGCAGCCAGTCTGTATCTGAGAAAGCACGAATGGCGGTACATAATGCTGTGTTGGTTCCCACGCTAATGTATGGGAGTGAGTATTGGGTGTCGTAGAAGCATGAGAGTAGAATAAATGCAGTTAAAATGAGATCTCCCAGAAGAGTATATGGTGTGCAGCTATGTGACAGAGTGTAGAATGCTGTGATTCGTGAAAAATGTGAAAGAAAAATAGAAAAGGGTATGCTGAGGTGGTTCGGGCACATGGAGCGGATGAATGAATGTGGATTAACGAAACAAATATAATAGAGCTAACGTAGATGGAATCATTAAAACAGAACGGCCACTACACAAATATACAAATTGAAAGTGTTCTTAAAAAGGCTGGAGACGAATAAGGAGGGGATGTATGAAAAGATGTACGAGTATGTAAGTGAAGCAAGAGAGGTTTGTAAGGATCGTGCTAATTGCTAACTGCCTACCCCAATGGGAATCTAAGAGCGTGAATATATAAATAAATGTCCCAAATAAATGGAGTATCGATTACAAAATGCCCAAGAAGAGGCAAGAAATGATATGTTACGTGAAAAATATAACAGATAATAAGTATGATAAGAATAATAATCCTATTACTTATAAAAAAGGAGATTTAAATATTGATAAGAAAATAATGTATGTCATAATAATAGTATTTATTTATTTATTTTCACTAACAAAAGCCGCTTAAGACTGTTAACAGATTGACTGCATGTTTGCAGTTAATGTGTGAAGTCGTAATCAACTTCATGCAGCCGAGACCACAACAGTATAAAGTTGATAATGACTTCACGCCGTAACTGCATGCAGTCGATCTCGGCTTAATGCGTAAAGTTCTTATCAAATTCATGCAGTCGAAGTGTCGAACAACCGGAGTTCTCACGTATATACATAAAAATAAAATACATTCGAATTGAACCTTGTCCTTTTTTTTACCTTGCACAACTTATTAGCATAGTTATACAAAGGGGGAACGCTCAGCGTCAGCGTCTTAGGACCGCGGCGACCCAATTTTATTTATATAATTTAATCCTAGTTTTACTTCCTAGAATTTTTAGTCTTTTATTGTGTTAACAAAAACATTTTTTCGTTACAGGTAGTGGAATGCAAAGACAAGCGCACTGGAGTTCGTCGTGCACTCAAAATTCTGCACGACAGCCCGAAGGCCAGGCGCGAAGTCGAGCTGCACTGGAGAGCCAGTGGGTGTGTGCATATTGTTGAGGTGTGTACAGTTACATATATATAAAAACTAAGATTTCTCAGGATTGGTATAGTTTGTTCAATATTACCCGGCCGGCGTGTTTCCACTTGAATAAACAATAGGGTTAATAAACTAGACCCTCGAAAACCCATAGTATTTTTCAAGCCGTTTCTGTGTATTGTACTGCGTAATTAACCTACATATTTTGTGTTTGTTTGTTTTTCAAGTTGGCGAAATGGAATGTTTACATTACTCGTATTTATCAGGGTTCGAAATTGGTAAGGTATTTCTTTCTTTGATATAATTATCATGATAGTAATTAGGTTTTATTTGAATCTCAGGGTGTTTAATTTTTTGTGAAATTAGTTTGTTATAATTATTAAACAAAGATCGAAAAGTTAGAAAAAATTCACTTCGATCTGGCTGGATTCGAACCAACTTCTCGTAGAAACCGTGTCAGACAGTATGCCAAGTAAGCCATTGAATCAAACAAAAATCAACGAGGCTCACGAGTTTTTCTATTTACGCTGATTCTTGTTTTGGTTTTTAACGACTTTTTTGCCGCAGTGTCTCTGTGAGAAATCTATGCAAAATTATCATGATAATTATTCGACTATTGTCCGATTCATACGTGTATCTTTAGTTTTTGTCTAAAAATGACAAACAGTGAGAAAAGTAAATAAACACGAAGAAAAATCTTCGGCAAAAGATTTGGCCTGTGATTTTTGAGATTGGCATTTGACTAGAGGTGGGTGGTAAGATAAATAACGTCACGACGAAAAAATCACAGTGATCAGCTGTCAAATAGTATCACCGTGACTCTTTACAAAGGAACGACGTTCCAAAATCACATAGGTTGTTCCTCCGTTCCACTAACTGTCTCCATTACTCACGTCACGACATACGACGTATTTTACAATGAAAATCATACGCGATATCCGTTCTGTCAATTTTTTGACAGAACGGATGTTTGCTTTTATTTTTAAATTCTATTTATGAACTAAGAAATAATTAGATCAGTCTAAATACCATGTAAATATTGTACGAGTGTGGATTGTAAAAGGTCGCGGCCTAGCCAAGAAAACAAAGCTAAATATTCACAAAAATATTTTTATTTTTGACGTAATCTCCATACAGCTCTATGCATTTCTTTCACCTTCTATCTATTTCTAAACCCATTAAAAAAATATACTTCAAGGCCTTCAAAATACCCATTTAATGTTGCTTCGACATCATCATGTGATAAAAATTTCTGAGTAATGAGGTGTTCTTTTATGTTTGGGAAAAGAGAACATGCGAAGGTGCTAAACCTATCTTGGTTTAAGCCAAGTGGGGCAATTATTCGAAACCACATTAAGGAATTTTAACCATGGGTTCGACGGATTTTTTTGCTTTTCTAATATTGACGATATTCAGAGGCCAACTGTCTTCAACTATAGGTCTATCCTTCTGCCATTACTCTCTCACTACTCTAGTCAACTTACACCCACACTTACTTTCTCTCACTCAAACACGCACACACACACACACGCACGCACGCACGCACGCACGCACGCATGCACGCACACCCACACACACCCACACACACACACACACACACACACACACACACACACACACACACAC